AATATATTTATTAAGCCAAATAATAAATCTAATTTTAGAACGGCCCAATATGACATTATTTTAAAATCTTTTTCAAGTTCTCTCATAATCTACGCAGTACTTTCCTTTGTCATAGTTGTAATAAAAAATCTTTCCATTCACATATCACCAGATTTTTTTTATAAAAACGTAACAGGACATTTCTATATTCTAAAATAAATATTGCGTGTATTGATTGTGTATATGTATGCATTATCTTCATTGTTAAACCGATAAGTAGCAGAAAAATCTAAGTACCTATTACGTGTTGTCAATTTAAAATGGATTGCACAAAAACTTTAGTTTTTACAAGTTCTTAATTTGTACAATAGCGAACAAAAAATATATGTAGTTGAATTTGCTTTATTCGTTATGTTGGTATATTAGTATATGACAATAGATTTTTAATTTAGTCACTAAATATATATATATATATATATATATATATATATATATATATATATATATATAAACTATTTTCGTATGGGAAATTATAAATGTGAAGTATTCATTAGAAAATACTGATTAACACGTCGCTAAACGAAATCATATGGATAGTACGTGTATTGCTAATAACACTAACGTGATTTTGAATACATATCATATTCGTGATGAAATACGGCAATATGTTCATATTATGCGTGATGAAATGGACGCTATCGAACTATGTTAAATTGTAACTAAGCAGTAATAATATTTAAAATATTTTTTATTTACTGAAATGTTACCTATTGTACGAGGAGATCTTCAGTCTACACTCTACGGTATGTAGAGCAGAAGGTTTTTTTCACATTTATTAAAAAATCGAAAAAGAATTTTAAGGAAAAATTATATGTAAATTTCAGCTTCATTAAAAATAGCTAAATCAAGATATATTGAGTCGAATGTATTTTTTTTCTAACGGTGAGACAATTAAATTCTAAAATATATTTTGTAATTCAGTTCATACACAAGTATCATTATCTTCTATACATATAATAAAATTCTAACTGAGTCGAATCTGTACATTAAATATTTTTTTGGAAAATCTTATTGAAATAGTCATTATTATCTAGACAGGCCGAATCTATAGTTTTTAATGTTTTGTCTGGGAACGCGTCACGAGAAAACCACTGGACAGATTTTGATGAAATATCGTATGATGATAGCTGGTTATTCGAATGAATATATAGGATACTATTTACTGCGGGAAAATATCTCATCTCTGAGAAATCTATACTAAACGTTAATAAATCAACACGCCATCATATCAAATACATGTAGTAATTATAATGATAATATTTATATTTGACCTGATATTTGATTGTCATAAAATATTTACATCATTCAATTTTTCTGTACGCGCTAACCCAAAAAAGAGGGGATTCCTTTACTTATGTTACGGCGAAACCCAACAACCAGTCTATCTGTTGTTGTCCTTATAAGAGAAAAACATTAGACCACTATCGCTAGAAAGCACCATAAAGATAGATGGACTTAGTGACGAATCAATTCAATCAAAGAGACCACTAAACATACATTATAAATTGTCATATCGGGGGGCACGGAGTGCCCCCGCCAAGTCGAGCAAAAAAGGGCACGACAGTACCATCCTTTTCTCGAAGCGATTCAGAGCATTTTCCACCCCCCCATAACTTCGTTATGGATAAAGCTAGAAGCCTGAATTTTCAGGGACTAAAAGAACATAATAAAACTAGGCATATTTCCAAATTACATTCAATTTGAACCTGTAGTTTAAGAACTGTTGCAGATCAAAATTCGTTAATATCGTCACTCACACACTCACTCACTCACTCACCGATCATCAAAATTCTAAGGTACTTCTAGCAGACATAGGAGCTTCAAATTTTGAACACAATTAGTGTTTAGCCTATAACAGAAGGAAAAACTCAAACATCACGAAATTTCAATGTTGTTTTCGAGATATACAAACTGCATAAGTAACTTTGTAATCCTATACAAATAGATATCCGATATATGGGATTACAAAGTTATTTTTGCAGTTCATACATATCATTTTTCGTCACTTAAACTAAAATATTTTAGTTAAATTTACACTATTTTTTCCTTCTATTATTTAAATTAAATATTATTTTTTTAATACCCGATATCTTACTTTTTTTTTTTCACCTCATTCATATATTCTAATATAATTTATAATTAACTAGCTGTACCCGCGGCTTCGCCCGCGATCAAACTACTAAAAAAAACAAACCCTTTGTCACACCGACAGCAGCGCCACCTACCACACAAAACAACACACACAAAAAATTTCATCAAAATCGGTCCAGTCGTTTGAGAGAAGTTCAGTGACATACACACTCACAGAAGAATTATATATAAAAAGATAGTAAATTAATTAATTATACAATAGTTGCACTGTAAAAGGAAGTTAGGTTAATGTTTTACCTGTAGGTTTGTACGTCCGATCCTATGTTCCCCCGTAATTACTAACCTAATTTCGATTCGTCTATTTATTAATGTTTATATTTGCAACTATAAGTATTAGAAAAGTATTTTTTAAATGCGAAAATAATATTTTCAGCTTTTTTAGTAGCTGTATACATTTTTATGCATATACAAATGGGTACATAAATGTAATGTGAAGCGTGTATAGTTTATACCTACTAATATTCGATTACTGTTATTTATAATGAATTGATTAAAATATATACTTAATTAAGAAACAACTAGACGATTACTTAATTTTGAAACAAAGCTCGTACATTTTCTTTTACAAAGTATGATGTTGATATGATTTAGAAAACCTTGTCAACATTGCTCGTAACTGTACCCACGTATTAAAACATGGAATATAGAGGTCATGAAATATCAATCTCTTCGAAAATTACTTTTAAAATGGAATGGAATACAACTTTCGGGACTTACCTACGATTAACGTACGATTTACGTCTTATTAAACTTATGTAAGTTGAATATCAGTATCGGGGTAGGTATTTAGTTAGGGTCAACAATTAAATTAAAATATTCGTTAAATTAACTATACATATTTATACTTAATGCATAAGATAGTAGTATTAAAGTCTAGGAATCCGCAATTTCCCAATACAATAGACTTAGATATTTTATCATCCAGACTTGTCAAAATTTGTTATATCAATCTGAAAAGCCCACAGAGACAAGGAGTGGGCGTTTAAAAAATTCCTTAGCTGACACACAAGAAATAGTACAAGAAAAGAGTAAAAGAAGAAATATTTACAAAAAGAAATGAGATCCCATCAAAAACATTCTGTAAAAATATTGCAAGTCTCGCAACGCATTTCTTCTACCGCAAAAAGCTATGAGATATAATGTAAAACCAAGTCGGTTAATTTATACATTACCTATCTATGGAAGCATCTATCCGACAACTTTGTCATAAATCGTTACCGAATTAGTTAAGTTACAACATTTTATAGTGACCGTAATAATATTAGATATATTTATTTCTTTAATTAATAGAATGACTTGGCCATCGCACATGATAATAGAACCTACAAATAACAAAATTTACCTCATACTAGCGTTCTGAGTACATTATTTATGTTAGTGCATGCATAAATTTGACCCGCTAGTGCTATGTTCAGTTCATCTCAGCCCAAACACGTCCACAGCTGGACATAGGCCTCCCCCAAAAATTTCCACGACAACCATTCTTGTGCCATCCGCATCCAGTGGGCTCCAGCGACTTTGACCAACTCGTCCGTCCACCTTGGTCATGGTATGTTTAATTAGGACTATTTAATTAAAGTAGTAGACTCTTATGTGATTATGTTTCCGTGCGATGGCCAAGTCATTCTATTAATTAAAGAAATAAATATATCTAATATTAATACGGTCACTATAAAATGTTGTAACTTAACTAATTCGGTAACGATTTATGACAAAGTTGTCGGATAGATGCTGCCATAGATAGGTAATGAATAAATTAACCGACTTGGTTTTACATTATATCTCATAGCTTTTTGCGGTAGAAGAAATGCGTTGCGAGACTTGCAATATTTTTACAGAATGTTTTTGATGGGATTATCTTTTACAAGCTAAATGATAAAAAATATATGTTCTAATACGGTTGGAAGTCGATTGATAATAATTAATCGGAACATTAAAAGGTCGTTATGAGTTATCCAGTTTTTTAGAATTATGATATTTCAATTTGCAAAATCATCAATGAATTAGGTACATTTATTTCATTCATTGTATATTTAATCTTTTTTTTTTTAAATACAAAAAAATATATATTAGTAGATTAAAAATGGCTGAATCCTTATCTTAAGTAAAACCTTAACAATAAATAATTTTATCACTCGATTAATATTCATTTTTTATAATATTACGACAATATCGCGTTTGCAATTTTGAATAAAGTTCAAGTTTGTAGGTCAAAATGTACTTTATAATAGTCTCTAACACATGTTACGTAGTATTTTTAAAGACGAATAAAGCCTAATTTATACACAGGCAATCTTTCAATCCCAACAGTTGGGAAACACTGAAATTGCTTTTTTGTATGAATTCTAAGATCTAAAATATATTATTTGAAAATTAGACATGACTAGCGACTCACCATCGCTTCGCTAGAGTTCGTCCCTAGCTTGCTTCCCCATACAAACTTTCATCCCCATGTCCCTTAAGGGATTATTTCCGGGATAAAAAGTGTCCTTCCCAGGGTCTCAAACTATCTTCTTACCAAATTTCATCTAAATCGGTTTAGTAGATTACCCCATACAACGTCACAAACTCACAATTCACCAAACTCATAAACCTTATTCCTTATTAATATTAGTATAGATAGACGTCTATGGGGTCAGAAAGCTATGTATAAAATATGGGACTAGCAATAGTAGCGCTAACCTGTCATAATAAGAAACAAAAAACTCTTAGGCTAACGTCAATATGACGTAAAAAAAAATTAGTTTCATAAGTATATAAATTTTTAGTTTTTGTATGAAATTTACAATATAAATTAAAATTTTGAAAAAATGTTTGAAAAATTTTACTGGTTAATCCTTTGTGTTCTAAGTATACATAAAGAACAAAAGTGCATCCTCAATACTCGATACGATTTCACTGAACCCCTGCCAATTATTTTAAGATATGGTAGACTGTTAGAGCCTGATGATGGCGAAGGAAACGTAGAATTAAATAATGGAGACGTGCTTACTCTAAGCTGTGAAGGATCTGGTGGCATTTTACATCCCAGGGCCACACAGCAACTCTCAACTGCTTCTATCAAATGTGTTTCTGGAAAGGATTTTAGAAACGATGACTGGCTTCTACCCTCTGGAACATTTTCATACTTCAACTGTCCATATCCACCAAATTACGTCAGTGTACTAACCAATAGAACATGCTTTGAAGGAAATCGTATTATCGAAGTCGGTTACACAGTCGAAAATACTTTTTACCCAGTTTTTGAATCTTGTTTTGATTCTAATAATCTTAACGCGATATATTCCAAGTATACACAAAAACCTTACAATGCCCTATATCAAACAAAAGTAATACGGCCTTTCTTTGTAGATGATGGCAATTATGGTACAGTGAACGTAAATTTTTTGTATTCTCCAAGAGGGCTCAAGGCTGCTATTGCTCAGTTAGTCGGAAACCGGATAGATTCTTATGTTACCGGAACCCAAAGCCTTTCAAGAGGACATTTAGCTGCTAAAACTGACTTTGTATTCGCTTTTGGTGAACGAGCGACATTTCACTATGTTAATTGCGCACCACAATGGACAGGTTTTAATGGAGGTAACTGGAATACGTTAGAAGTTGATCTTAGGAACCATATCCATTCTGCAGGCTACGATACAATTATTTACACTGGCACCTACGGAGTAACGCAATTAGAGAATCAAGCGAGTCAGAGAGTGGATTTGTACCTAGATACTGATATAAATAATAATCCCATAATACCAGTACCACAATATTATTATAAAGTCGTCTATGAACCTAGCACTCAGCGTGGCATTGCCTTTGTAGGAATCAACAATCCATATTACACAGCATCAGAAGCTCGCGAGTTGTTCTTCTGCAAAGACGTTTGTAGGGGAAATAATATGTATGCCAGATGGCTGTCATGGCATCCAGATAACCCCAATGAAGGCTATAGTTTTTGTTGTAGCGTACCTGATTTTAGAAATACTATCAAGCATTTACCTCATTTTGAAATCAAAGATTTACTCACATGATCTTTTACGTTGCTTAATTTGTATAGGTAGAATAAAAAGAAGTAGCTTTCACTAAATATACGCTCCTCATTTGTGTATTAAAGGTGAATGCTCGAGAGATATATATTCTTATCACACCGGACATGCCATTTTGACCCTTGACTCACTAACATGCCGTAATTATTGTACAAGACAGTGTCTTACTCATTTTAAACTATGGTTACAGAGCTATTAAGTACGTATATTATATACATTACATACGTTTAGGTATAACATAAACATATAAAATACTTAAGAACTAATATGTATCAATTGAAATTAATATTAAATGTGCCTTTCTCTTATTTATAACTACTGTATTATCAATTTATTGTTATAGATATTATATAATATTATACATTAATTGTAGATAACTAAAATGTAAATTTAAACTGTATATTTAAATCAAAATCAAGTGAGTGTTTTTAAAAGATGTGGAGCATTATATTTTTTATCAAATCTTTTATTGAGCATTATATAGAATTAATTTTATGACGTTGTTTTATTTAAAGCCCTCGATCCACTGACAACGCTTACATTGTATATCTGTACTAATATTATAAATTTGAAAGTGTATTAATTATTTGTTTGTTTATTCATATTATGTTTTAGTTTAAATATTTAATTTTATTTATTGTTCTTAATGTAATGGAAACCTTTGTATTTATTTTATTTAGTTTATAATTTAATTTTAGTTTGATTTACCTACTTTTCAAATTGTATGGAAAAGTGTTCCGAAATAAAGATTTATTATTTATTCGTGACTTAATAAAGATATATTATAAAAATAATAAATAATAAAAAAAGTTATAATTAATAAAAAAGAGTAATATTATATGTACATATTATACAGACTTGGTTTTTTTGTTTTTATTCCTGTTTCTGGTTCGTCTGTCACGAATTTTGATTCATATGGGTGCTAAAAAATTCAAGTTAAATATCTCAAAAATTATTTGATTAAAATGATTGCGTGATTCAAATATATGTTATTTGGCTTATCTGTAATCATAAGAATATGTTGAATAGAGCCAAAAGTGAAACTAATTTTTGGCCAGATAAATCAGACGAAGAACGCAATCTCGGAAAAATACCCATAATATAAAGCTTCCAATAAGTATTTATTGAATTCTAATTTTTCGATAGACAACTCGGAAACTTTAAAATACAGATCATCGTTGCTTAATCGTTCTTTAATCTCCAAACAATAAATGGCTTACTACAAAATAAATTAGCCGTAAAAATGCATCAGCGTAATTAAGCTTAAGTATTTAGCAAAGTATTCATTAACGTTTTTAGTTTTATTATAAGGGAATATATTTCTGTATTTAAATACAACAACTTAAGTGAAATACATCAGTTTGTGTTAGTTCCTTGTGCAGATTGCATTCTATTATAATATTCCAAACGGAGAAATCACAATGAAGATAATATTGGTAAGTCCTTGTCCTGTTTTAGTAATTAGAAGCTTTAAAAAATAGAATATTATTGGTTAGAATTTTTTTTAATGACACTATTTAATCAAAGTTATAATTTTTTCTATAACTGCAGAATATGTATGAAAATAGATGCCGATTGGATTGGTCAATTTATTTCAGTATATACATCGTTGTAATTTTATTTAATTAAGTATTATGTTATACTTTTCACTATACACAAATATCTTAAATACAAACTATAAATTTAAATTTGTTAGAACCAAACCATAGCGCGTTTTAAAACACTACTAGCACCATCTATTATCTATCAGTGTAATATATTCGTAGAGTTAAGACGAGAGTTATGGAAATTGGCACAAGTGAAATTCTCCAAAAATTCTTACGAGATAAATGATTATGATAAATTATTGTGATTAATGCCTATTTATGACTTACGCACCATTCATTTAAAAAAAATACAATATACTTTGAGTTCTAGAACTCGCTATGTGATATTTAATAGATTGCTGTTTTACAAATGCTTTTATTTCATTTCAGGTGACTGTGATGCTTATATTTATTGTAAAAATAATTAATGCTAATCAAAGTGAGGATGACTCATCGAAATCTAATACTTTGCGGAGTACTGAACTTAGAGAGGCCAACACGCCCGTAACAGGAATTAATAATAGGTCGTTTCCAAATAAGACAAAGAAGTTTATTGTGACACTTAAAAAACCTGTTAAAACGCCTTACAGTTTGCCGAAAAGAACACCTAAAAAGTCGTTTGTCCCAAAACTCCATATAAAATATAACGTGCCTAATGGAAGTATCGGTATTTTTCCTGTACTTAGTACAAAGCGTCCTCATTTGATGCAAACTAAAAAGTTTATTTCAAAACCCCACACCATCGACCGGGCGCAACAACTAATAGAAATAAAAAATTTCAACAAAAAACGCACTCAAAGCAAATTTAACCAATTTATGACTGAAAAAACATTGAAAAATGTCGACAAGAACAAATATAAAACTGAAGTCCCAGAGAACTTTGAAGAACGTTTTAAAAATTTTACAGATATCGACATTTCAAACGAAAACGATTCTGATGAATCGAAAGAAAATGTCAAACCTTTACCCCGAAGGTTTATAAAAGGAGCAGCTTCTCTTAAAGTCACAACTATTGCAACTCCTCCTATTACTAACGCCAAAGTTGCGAAAGACTATAAAATAAAAGATTTATTAAAAAATCCGAAATATATGCCTCAAGTCGAAAGAAAAAAGATGGTTCCAGTACTCGCTCTTCAGAAGAGCGAAATAACAGCTAATAATACAAACGAAGACATCATGCCTACCATAAAATCTTCCGAAGGTGTATCAGAAAATAATTTAAAACTGTCGACTAAAAACAATGATTATTCCTCAGAAGAAAAAGCTGACCAGAATGAGTTTATTTTTATTAAAGAAAATAAACATAAATCAATGACCACGACGACGTTGAGTCCTGAAGATGACGAAATAGTAACGATGGATACAATAGATGATGCTGACGTTCGACAGGAGAGGTAGGTTAGTGTTGTATGAATTAAATTATATGTATTTTAAGAAAATCATCTTGTACTAAACATTATGTATTCATTTAAAAATGTTGAAAATCATTTATTTCTTCCTTTATATAACACTAGCTATTACTGTCGCTTCGCTTAGGTTCGTCACTAGGGCCTACCGGCCCATATTTTACTCCAGGTCGTATCTTTAAAGCATTGCAGCTTTCAGCGTGAAGATGAACAAACATACACACATAAAATCTTTCGCATTTATAATAATAGTCCGATTGTCCTTAATACTAAATTATTAATGTTTTTTTACAGATCTGTCAACGTAATAGAGGAGGAGAGCGTTGCGACGACGTCAGGGTCTAAGTTCACAGCGAAGGACTGGGCCATGAGCCTTGAATTTGCATATAAAAATATTCATACGTGATATTACGTTGTGAAGGGTAATTAGAAGTATTTTATTTTATAATTTTCTATCAAGAAACATCCTTGTGACTGGCTTAATATTACTTTAGTTTTAATTTATTATAGTACCTAAACTTAAAGCAATGTTAGTAAGTATATTAATTAACTTGAATAAATGTATAAAATAATATGTTGAATAAGAATAAGTTGAGTGAAAAATAAAATAAGTTATATAAGTAAAAATTTATTTATTTTCTCCATTAAAAACTTAATATTACAGACAATTATAATGTACATCCTTATCCTAGGTACATCGTAATGGCAAAATCATTTATCATAAAACTATACATCGATCACACTGTAAAAAAGGCAAGTAAAAAAAACTACGAACGCCCTAACTGAAACTATCCATTTTCTGATTTTTTGGAATAATAAATACATAGAATACCATATATATAAATATATTGAAATATATTTTTTTTATTTATTAAGATTCACCAGTGGTAATTACATTATTACAGTAAAAAATATGCTATGTTACAAAGTTCTTATTGCTAAATGCATTACCTTTCAAGGTGAATATCGCATACGAAAATAATATTCCTATACCTACATAGTACATACATTAGACGGTGGATTCAAGTGGTTTAGATGAAGGTTTTATTTGACTAAAATGGATATTATTCAAAAAAATTCAACTTGATTTATTATTATTAATAGAAGATAAATGGTAATAGGCTTCTAAAACAACAATTAGCGTTTACAATAAATTACAATTTTAGCTTTTGATCTGAAATTTGAAATAGACAAATATTATATATTATTCAATATAATTAAAAAAAAACAATAAATATAATAATGTACAATAATTAAATAGGTTGTTACATAGTTGATACATACTTCTGTCACTAGATGGCGTTAATAAGCAAAAATAATAATATCACTATATCAAGCATTCCCATTGTACTTATAAAATCGTTTTAGTAAATGGTAAGTAATAGTTTAACTACTCTAGTATGTACCTATAGTATGAATCGATGTAGTCCCACGTATAACTTTAGAAAACTATACATGGCCAGAGTGTATGTCATAAATTTAGTTAAAAAATAAGTTAAGTAAGATTATTAACATTTTTTTATACTGTCACTGAATTTCATAAATTTTATTTTAAAATAAAATAGGTATAACTAAAATATTTTAATGTATTTAAATAGTACTTCCAACTTTACATTTCTTACGAAAAAGTTATTAAATTAAAATATTAAAAAATAATGCTTTTATTCAAGTTTTTCTTAATATCACTCATCACTGGATAATTTAAAGTTTTTTTAAATCAATGTTTTAATCTTTTTTCACACTTGCTCATATTTCATACTAGATGGCGCTATTAAAATATGTAACAAATTATAATTTATAAAAACTATTACAACAGAACTGATTACATCAATGTTTAATTTATTTAATTCTATGTTACGTAAACAACATTAAAAGATATTTCAAGGCAAATTCACATAAAAATGTACATCTGTAAAAATATCCATACCATTTGGGTATCATAGATATTATATCGGATGTAGGTATTGTGTTATATAATTTATACTACGCTTTGATATTTATTTACAACAAAACCGTTTTGTTTTTAAAACTTAGGTAATGGTAAACTTGTTCAAACACTAATATAATTCGCAGCATCATATTTGAATAAAAAACATTAAAATGCCTTTGTAATTTACGAAGATCTCGCCTAATAAAATATACAAAAAAAATCCGGATTAAGTATTTGCTCTTATTTGGAAGTCCAATCAAATAAATAAGCATTCATTCTTCCTCATGACATTTCCATTCTGTGATTAGATTTTAGTAAAGTAGATTATGCTGGCCGATTAAAAAAAATGAGTTCAAGTCACAATCGTTGTACATAACGTAAGTGTATCGAACAAATTTAAAATCACTGGTAAGCGCAAAATACCTGAAAAATTTAACACTGAGTACGTCTACAACATAAAAATTCAAAACATTTTTTTCTCCATGATCCTTCACAAAACCTTTACACAACTCCAATTTCGATGAGGTTTATCGTATCACATAACTTTTTAGAAACAATTCCAAGGCCATAATTGCGCTGTTAATAATTAGTATAATATAATAGCACAGTATAAAAATCCATACAGTAGGTGACCGTATTTAATTTTAACGGAGATAGCCGTCAAATGCTAGGGTTATCAAAAATACAAATTTTCACGGCGAAAGGTTTAAAACATTGATATACAAAAACTCAAGATAGACAATTAGCGTCTCAAAAGTGTCCTCAAAAAAAAAGCGCACTATTCCTAAATAAGCTCCTTTTTTTCAAGCCTCTTTTATTCATTGCATTTCATTATGATAAAATTAAAAAAATGTTTTTGTTAAAATAGTACTTTATGTGGTGTGCATAAGTTCGGATTTGTATTTAGACAGCTAGAACTTTCGATTTTTGAATTTCATTTTTTAGTTTAACTTAACGTATATGTGATGTTCGTCATCGACGCTACTTTTTAAAGAGATACTTGTTAGGAAATGTGTATCTATGTTTTTATACATCAAATTCCAAATCACCGCCAACCTTAAATTGTTTCCCGAGTGTCATATAAAAATAAATACCTATGATAGTCTGGTGCGCCTCACCTCGCACATCGCCTTCAGTAGACGACTGTATGGATTAGTATACTATGTTACTAGTGTAATTGTATTTTAAATAAAATTATCTTTTCGGATTATTTCGTGGATTTATTTGATTTTTGGTTCCCGAAGTTTCGAGTCGACTTGTCTCTCTCGCGACCATGATTGCTGTAAAGCATTCGAAACGTCAAGAATCAAAAATCAAAATAAACCCGCGAAATAATCCGAAAAGATAAAACTATTTAAAATGACAAATATTCGAGTAAATCTAAGAACGTATTAGTGTGATTGTACTTGCGTCGCAAATATACTACTATTTCTTAGTGAGCCGGAACACGTCGTTGAGAGCGTACGGCGTCCGAGTGGGGATCGCGTTGTACGCGAAGGAAGGCTGCGCGTCCGCTCGAAGTATTACCACACCTGTTGGAATTCATTATTATTTATTATTATTTCTTGATATATATTTATTTATATTTTATTATAAATTTTGTTTAACTGGCTTCTACAGTAGCTTTAAAATGGTCAGCATTTTTTGGGTATGCTTGTAGTTATTACTTTTGTTCAAGATAGTTTTCAGGACATTTAACAAAACTTTGCAGTGTATCCTAGTGTGTATGGTCTATAGGTTGTTTAAACTAGAAGAATTAATTGCAAAATATGTATTATAATTAAAAAAGAAAAAGCGAAAAAAAAATTAAATACCTAAGCTTACTTGTTTCTTTTTTAATTTAAAGTTCCAAATATTATTAAAATAAATTTAGCATACCGAATAGAAATTAAAATTTTATTAATTAGTAAATAAAAAAAAACTTAGCACGCAAGTGTTTAGATCTCTAACAATATAAAGACAATATAAGACACTTTCTACCTGAGGGGTTCACTTTCACTTTGATCTTAGTCTGTGGGGAGAGTACTCCGTAGTCGACGTCTTCATATAAGTCCTAGAAAAGGAACGATAAATACACATTAATTAAATAAAAAAATCATATTATTCGTTGGAAAGCTAGATAGACGAACTGTTGCTAACAATAAACCTTTTAATAATATTGAAATTACAGTCAAAAAACTACTAACAAGTTTTTAAATTTTTTTGGAAATCATTACAGTAGTGACATAAGCAAACACTCTTGGAAATAATTATCTCCCAAAGGTTTTGTTGTATAATAATAAAATAATTCGACAGTTTGCAAAAAATAGCCCGAAGAATAGCCTGAATTAAGTCTACTACACTACTACTAAGCAAAGATGCTCCATCCCATACAATTTCTTTATATGAGATTGAGCAGCTTTGCTTAGTATACGAATATAACGTTATGTTATCTGAGGTATAACATAATTCTATTATTATTATTAGCAATTATATTCAGTATCAGTACATATATCTGGCACATATAGTTGGTGTGTTATACTGTATACACCTTTAGGAGGCCAAAAATAAATATAAATAATACTTTCTTATATTTGCGCAAATACATATATGAAATTAAAAAAAAACTGCGAAAACACGAAAAAAAATAGTTTAAATATCGAAATATACATTATCTCTATCCCGTAACCCCATCTCACCTCAACCCTGTATCCCGCGGGATTGTTCAGCCCGAGCTCGCGCAGTGTGACGGCGACGTCGGAGGGCGTGCCGTCCGTGCGCCGGTTGACGAACGCCACCGCGTACGAGTAGTGCTGCCCTTGGATCGGTATGATGGGCCGCGACCAGATCTCTATACCGCGATGCTGACGTGGGAAAATGTACAATTTAGATAAAGATCTGAAACCTATATTAATAGAAAGATATATTTGGAATGTAGATATTATTATAAATACTGCTCAGAGCTAAAAATTCAATTAAGTATTCTCACAATACATAATATATCTATACTATGACTAGTGATTTACCTTCGCTCTGATCGAGTACGTCCCTATTTGCCTAACAATATCCAATAAAGTAACTCTTATAAGTAAGTATAGTATTTTTTTGGTCATTTCTTCGGACTTCAATTAAAATTAAGTTGATTTCCATACAGTAAATAATATTTTTCGGTACAAAAAATTGCCTAAAGCACTCGCTGGTATTATAGCCTCCTATTAGTGAAAGAACTAGTAGAATCAGACAACCCCCTACATTTAAATTATATCCCTTTATAATATTATGTAGATCAGTGTTCCAACCTTTTTTGTATAATGTCACTGGAGAAACTCATTATGGGGTCTCGACCAGCTGTGAGTTTCATACTAAAACCCAAAGCTGGAACCTTATCGCCGTCATGAAATGGATGGATGGGCGTTGCAGGATCGTTGAATTAGTGTCTTAACCTAATCTATCCATCTGTGCGGCATAAATAGTGTATAAGTAGCTGAAAATTTGTCTCTATTCCTTGAGTATTAAAATTCGATGTGATAGCATTTCGATACGGAGTAAACGTGCTAGAAATTAAACCCCACAAAGATTTCTATTTTGTTAATATGTAAAATATAACAAAAACATAGCAACTTACCCTGGTGAGAAACAAAAACAAATCTATCCTACGTAAACCGTACATTTTTCCGGGATAAAAAATAATCATGTGCTATTTCAAACTATAATTTATTCCTGTGTCTTTCATCCGGATCCGTTGAGCCATTCTGGCGTGATTAAGTTACAAACATCCAACCAAACTTAAAACTTTCGCTTTTACAACATTAACAATGAGATTATAAGTTGATATCTAGATACTAACTACTAACCTTATAAATCCTCCTTCCCTGTATTCCTAGAGGATCTTGATCAACTTCAATAATTTTTCGGTTCTGTAATATCGCTTTGTATTCAGGTCGGATGGTGCGCAAGTCCACGCTCATCAATAGCGGTGCGGCCAATATCGCCCATATCGCGAACTGGGTTTTACTCTGCTCGTACGATAGACCGAAGTTGCCGATGATCAACTGGAAAAGTTATGGGAAATTAAGACGTTTTTAGTTTAAAATATTACTTCCATTTATTTAATTATGCTCTATTGCCCAAGAAATAACTAAAATAAATAAAATAGTAATAAAAAAACATAAAATTAATTGAAATTTGTTAGAAATTAAATATTTTCAATTCATTTTCGTTGTTTTAATCGTAAGAATTTTAGTGAATGTTGTTATACCTATTTAAAAAATATATGTAAATACCAATTCATTACTAATATAAAATTAAGATAGTTTTACTTTTTAGGAAAAACGTCAACATTAGCAAAATTAAGTTTTTTTTTAATTACTTATTTACGTAATATTTAAATAAGCAATTAATTCATAATCAATTTCATCAAATTTAAATATACTTTTATGTTATAAGCTTTATTCTTCATTAACTTAAATGAATTTGTTTATGATTTTAAACTAACGTCTACTTACCATATCCGGGTCATTCCAATGTCCAGGCCCAGCGTTGGGCACGATGACGTCCTGATGGTTTCCGTAGTAGTCTATGATAGACTCGACGGACGCCCACGAGTCTTGTATGTCGTCGAAGTTACGCCACAAGTTGCAGTGTTCGATGATCGAGGAGAAGTTTGGCTGAAAATATGAGTTATATTTTTTTACTATTTTCTTTTACTATTTTCTTTTTTCTAACGCTGTGTTTTTCATTTGTATTCAATCAACGAGAAGAAAGACTGTGTAACGCTTAGTCTATTTCAACAATAATATATATTGTAAAATATTATAATATATTTATTATATTTTTAAAATGAAATACATACTAATGAATGTAAATATTATGAACCTTGATAATAACCCTGCAATTTAATTAAACGGATTAATAATGAAACAAAGAAACCAAGATGGGAGTTCTCGCCGAAGAAAAAATTGCTTATAAATTCATTAAAATTTAAATGAGAAAACAATAAAAAAAGCTTCTAATCCAACCTGTAGGTACGAGTACCTATGTGTTAAGTTTGGGGAATTCCCCTATCTCTACCAAAACTTCCTATAGGTATATAAAATCTATTAATAATTTACCTGAAGACCAGCATAGATCTGGTAAACTGGCCAACTGCATGAGTAGACCATTTGACGACCAGTAAGATTGAGCTGTCGGCCGAATTCAGGGTATCCATGGTCCATGTCCACCGGGAGAGCGTAGCATCCGTCTAACTTAACATAGTCGACACCCCAGGAGGCGAATGTGGCAGCGTCTGAAGAAAAAAGAGAAAGCGATATAAATATTAATACAGTGTATGTATATTGTATATACAACATAATAACTATGTACATAATATGCATGGGGACTAGTGAAGTAATCAGCAGAGCCTACGAACAGTCTGCTCAGAGAAGTGACATATGGAGCGCCATTCTCAATATAATCTCTTCATTTGTCTTATCTATGCTGAACTTAATGCTATTTTCTATAAATACCTTACGCAAAATAATAATTTTTAACTCTATGTTAATTTTATACATTGCAATAAAACTATCAAAATAACTAAAAATAACACTTTAACACAAGTCTCGTATAGCTTTACCATGGAACTAGATGGTGCTGTGTTAATGTCCCAACATACTATTACATACTAGCGACTCACCCTCACTCTGCTCGGGTTCGCCCCTACTTACGTTTTAACGTATAGATTTCTAAGGGATGAGATATTTTCCCGCAATAAAAAGTATCCTATATGTTGACCCGGATAACCAGTTATCATCATACTAAATTTCATCAAAATCCCTCCAGTGGTTTTTCCGTGATGCGGTAACAGTCAGACAGACAGACAAAAATTCTAAAAACTATAGATTCGTCTTCTGTATCGATAACTAGCGGCTCACCCTCGCTTCGCTCGGGTTCGTCGCTAGGTACGTTTTAAATAGATATAAAAAGAAAAAATCTTTCTTTCTCACATTTTAATTATATGTTTTAATACTTACCTATTCCGGACTAAGAGAAATCCAAAAATTAAAATATCATAAAAATTGGAACGCGGTCGAACGGGATAAAAAGTATCCTATGTCCTTCTCCTGGCTCTAAACTACCTCCCTGCCAATTTTCAGCTAAATCGGTTCAGCCGTTCTTGAGTTATAAGCGAAGTAACTAACACGACTTTCTTTTATATATATAGATAATGACTATTTCAATAAGATTTTCCAAAAAATATTTACAGATTCGGCTCAGTTAGAATTTTATTATATGTATAGATCATATAATAAATTAAAAAACATATACCGTCATACTTATTAACAACTCAAAAATCCTTCGAATTATTATTATGGGATAATATAGAATCCCATCAATTTTATTATTAAATTAATTTAATTTTATTGAAATAACAATAATGACTTAAAAATGCTGTTTTTTAATATGTAGGCAATATAAATGATTGCATAGTTAAGAGATCAAAAATAAAAGATCGAATATAAATCATTGATTAATATAGTCATAGATCATTTATTATTGTGCAATTTAAGATTGAAACATTACAATGATAAATAATTGAACCTTATTTTACTTTATTATGTACCCATTTATATTACTTGTAAAGGTAATATATGTAATTTAATGATATAACTAAGTATGCATCATGTATTAAACAATAAGTAGTTGTAAAAACGTGTAATTCAAACTAAAGTGTTATAAAAAATGCGTGTTTCAAATTACACAAAAGTGTCGAAGTAATATTTTAATGGCACATATTTTTAAAATATTGTTATTTTTTCTAGTGTAAAATATGTAAGTGTAAAATATGCCGATAAATCGCTCTACTTTGAATTTTAGTTAAATATTATGTTTGCTTTCTATTAAACTTTCAATGTTTCGGTAATATAAATATCAATCTAAAAATGCAATCAATTTTTATGGAATGGAAAGTTGGAGATCTATTTAACGCTACCTTTACTTAGTAGGTCTTCCTACTTATATATAAACAGAGTATTTTAAGGTCTTTTACAGATTCTAAATTATTCGTATGGTATATATTATGTAAAGGGCAGTGGTAGCCCAGTGATAACGCGCTCGCTTGGGAAACTGATTAAAGCGGTTTCAAATCCCGCGTAATGCACTTCTGATATTTTCATGTGCGAATCATTCCCAACATAATTACCACTTGTCTTACGGTGAAGGAAAACATCGTGATGACCTGCATGTCTGAGAAAATCTAGTAAATTTTCGAAAAATATGTGACGTCCGCCAACCCGCGATTAGCCAGCATGGTGGACTGTGGCCTTATCCCCTTCGTATTGAAGCAAGGCTCGTGCACAGCAGTGGGACATACATATATGTAGGTATATGAGTATAACTACTCTAAGAGTCTAAATTATTTTAGCCACAACTATACTATGTAAGTATGTAATAAATATTACATAAATGTAATAAATATGTAATACATACATAGTTGCAAATGACTCTACGCTGTGTACTCTAATTCAGAGCCGTGACAGTTTTATAGATATGGATCACGAAACAAGGAGCTGTAGCAATTACTTTGGAACACGGAACTAATCGAACTATTGAAATAAAACTAAGATATGTATTTAACTAATATAATGTATAGATAGACCTATATATTATAGAAACGTACAGTCGTTGCGATGCGCAATGTTACAGTTATACAGACAAAAATACAATAAATTATAACTGCCTTTGAAAAATATTCCATGTTTGACGTAAACATTTTTTTTTAATTACATACGTAACAAAAAGAATATAGTATAACAAAATTTGCTTATTAAAACTTACTAGTTTTAATAAGCCAGTGAATTTATAATTAATAGGTATAAATGTATGTATAGTTTAAAAAAATGCCTTTTACATATTTCCTAACATTAGGAAGCACATACCACGAAGCCACCTCACAATCAGGTTAGGAAGACATTTCAATGCGAATTGCACGCGAATTTTTACATAACATCCATTATTCTACAGCTAGCTATTTCGTTTGGATTTGCTCGCGTAAACATTTATTATTAGGTATTTTTATTAGGTATAAAATAATAAGCTTACTAAAATGCTTTAAGTTTGGTGAGATGCTATTCTTCGTAGTGGAGGTCCTCAGTTCTGGTACGTACAGTTTTTCGTGTATGTTATAATAAATATATAAGAAAAAAGAATATTTTAATACATAATAACTGTTAAACTAAAGCACGCTGATTTCTTAATCAAGTTTGTAGATATTTTCCTGTAAGTGGTCTAAAATAAATGATAGAATATTGTACTCAACTAATTCGTATTAAAACAGCGAAATATTTTATCAAATACTTGCGACTCACCCTCGCTTCGCTCGGGTTCGTCCCTAGGTACGTTTTAACGGTTAGTATGAAATACAAATCTTTGAATTTCTCGGCTTTTTTGTTCTATAATATGCATGTATTATACATAAAAACCTTCCTCTTGAATCACGCTATCTATTTCTGATAACTTCATTAAAATTCGTTGAGTAGTTTAAAAGATCTTAGCGAACAGACAACGGAAGCGACTTCATTTTATACTATGTAAAGATATTCAATGGACAACTTTGAACTAGTTATAATAATTTTACTGTATTGTTTTATACAAAATTATGTAAAGATATTTTATGTAGTGTGGTACACTTTTTTTAAGGACGTTCTATGAATTTTAAACATATCGTTTGGTTACAATCGTTAGTACATCAAAGTATTTGCCGCATATATAGTAGCTTATTGCTTATTTCAAAAGTAAACGTTAAATTACTTATTGATTCATTGCACATGAATAGACTAGACTTCGATAGATTTGGTAGTAAATGAGGTCTTCGTTACATATATACAAAAGTACGTACTTAAAATATTGGCAAGTAGATTATTTTAATATCTACATATTTTTTCATTTTAATTTTTTTTTAACTTTGCGAAATATTAGAATCAAAATGATTAATTAAATACCTCATCATACTTGATTCGTCCTTTCCCGATGAACATTGATTTCGTATTATTGATTGATCACGTTTTTTACTAAGTTAAATAGTAGGTAATGTCTCTTTCGAGCCCCAGTTAAATTATCATAGCTTATTTTCTAGCGCTGTAGAACGAAGCAATAGTAACATCCGCCAGTATAAAGCTTATTATTAATAAGTATATTTGCTTCGTGCTATATGTATTTAGCCTATTTATAATGTCCCACTGGTTGGCGGACTTCACATGTCTTTCGAAAACTTGTTAGGTTTTCTCAGACATGTAGCTTAAAGGTTTACTCACGATATTTTCCTTCACCGTAAGACAAGTAGTAATCATGTCGGGAATGATTCGTACATGAAAATATCAGAAGTGTGAGACCCGGGATTTGAATCAACTTCATTCGGTTACCCAAGTGAGTGCGTTACCATTGGACTACCACCGCCTATGCTATATATTAATAACTAATTTGATCGAAAGATCACTTACAACGCACGTAAAGCACTTGATTGAAATAGCAGCCCGTTTTTTCTGTACTATACATATATATGAAGTGTTAATGCGTCAAGTTTTATTCCGGCATGATGGCGTCAAAAGGTAACACAAACTTTTTTCATATTTGATGGACGTTGCAAATATTTTAAATATTAGTAGTGAGTGAAATTTGAGTTTTTAGAAGGCCAAACATACCGCCAGCCAGATGGCCCACGACGCCCGGGTAACCGGCACAAGTAAAGTTGCCGTAGTCTTCATAGATGCCAAATTTCAAACCCTTGCTGTGTACCTGTAATTAAAATAGATAATGTTGAATATTGAGAATATGAATATTGATAATGTACTTTAAAAATATTTTTAGATCATTATTATTTCCAATGAAATATCTTCTGAATCTTATTTTCATTGATAATGAATTTCTTTGATCTTCCGGTTTCAAATATTGAATAAAAGTATTATATTTATACAACATATGAATAAAATAGTTATTTGTTTCACTTTTATCTTTATAGTTTATTATTATTTGTGATAAATGAAAAACTATTCTTAAATGTACAATTTTACAGTGACTTAGGTAATAAAATATTTCCTTATGGCAGTACAATAAGAAGTTTTTTTTTTAATAAAAGAACAAAGATCTATGAAAGAACACTAATGGAGATCGCTACTTTAGTTTCACAATTTGTATAACAATTAGCTTCTAAATAGTTATAGAATAATTTATTGTATACAGTATATAATTACATAATTGTTGCAGAGAATTGAAATTGTACGTTAAAGAATTGTATGTCATTATAAAAAGAATAATGACTCATCTAACAATGGTATAACACTTGCTGAAATATACACAAAAACTTTGATACATTATGTATTGATTGGTAGTACTCGTACATAGGGTTGCCTTATGAAATTATAAACAATTATAATTTCATAAGGCAACCCTATGTTTGGCCGATTATAGTTGGGAAATAATATTCATCATTCATAAATTTATACAGATAAATAAAATTGAAGTGTCTGTTTGTAATTTCAATATAACAGCTTTTTGCTAAATAAATTCATATGAAATTATATACGGCACTTATAAGAAAAATACAATTTATAAATTTTTTGTTTCACTGTCTATCTGTCTTTTTTTTCCGGGTAATCTCCAAAACGGCTGGACTGTTTTTGACGGGACTTTCACTGACAGATAAATGATGTTATAAGGAGTAACTTAGGCTACTTGCATTTTAGAGAAAGAATTAGGGTTCCGCTTAAGAAAATTAAAACGTACCTAGAGAGGCACACGAGCGAAGCGAGGGTAAGTCGCTAGTATGCAATAAAAAATATACAGATATATCAAAGTATAATACTAAATTTATTATATATTTATAAAGACCAACATCTAAAAGCCGAGTTCGTAATAATAAAAATAAATAAACTTCATGACACAGATAATATAATTCTAATTAACCGTCAGTACCTAATGAGCATTATAATTGAATTGTATTTACTAACTAAGAAAACTAAACGAGTTAGATCGGCAACCATGATCATCCATATTAATATTTGATTATATTGTAGATTACTACCTACTTCTCTATTACGATTTGCAAAACAAAAACTAAAGGTATACCTAATCAGTGCAGAGTTAAATCAGTCATTCACTCCTTCCAAGGTTACATAAAAACTTAAATGATAATAAATATGATTCATACTGTAATATGAGGAAAATATGAATTTTTAATATCTTGGTCTCATACGTACTAATTAATTTAATCTACGGTTTCATTTCATTGTTTACAAAAAAACATTACAATACAATAATTTTCCTAATAAGAAAAAATAATGATAAAATAAGTAAAATACTTATAAATTAAATTAATACTAGCATTAGCATTGCATATGTTTAGATTTTTTAATTTTTTTTATGATAATGAAGCATTTGAAAGGGTTCCTAATTGCTTATGTTATTTTTAAGCTCATACACTGTCTCATTGCAAATAATTAAATTTTAATTAAAATTTTAATACTTTAAAAAGAAATTAAAAAAAAAACGTGTGAGTGTACTTATCTACGCACGTAAGAAGTTATACTTCTTTGGCGTAATAGAAAAAATATATAATAGCTATGCTAAAGATTTCATCCCGTATGTCACAACTCTGTTTGTAAAAGGAATGCAGCTAATTTCATTATGTCGCTTTTAGCTAACTTCATCATGTCGCTTTTTGGCTCTCGGTGTGCGCGCGCATCGTAAAAATTTTACTCGCATATTTTTTACCAGAAGTGCCAAAATCGTCTAACTCTAACTTCAATAATTTAATATAAATTATTTCTCCCTAAATGGAAGCCTTTTTAAAAGGAACCGCTCTTAAGGTATATGGTATACCTACCTATATTATTTTCGTGGGTGTAATTAATTAATAGGTAGGTGGTACACTCGTTAATTTACAAGAATTTCGACTGTGATGATATAAATTGTAAATACCTAGTTAAACAAAGTATACATTTATTCATTTAATTTAGGTTTGTTTTACGTAAGTTATGATAATTCTATAATTTATTAATTAATGTATGTTAATCGACTGCTGCATTTTATGCAATATTCCAAGGTTGATTTTATTTAAATTCGTATCTAAAAATATGACCATAATAAAATTACATCGGACTAGCTGAAACTTAATCGTTGTCTGGAGTCTAGACACTGTGCCGTATCAAATTAAAACAATTTTAAATTTCGTATTATTCTGTCAATTTCTAAAGTTATATATTGTAATCCGAAACCTACTTAATACTATATTTTTTAGCACAATCAAGAAATGTTTTACGAAAAAAAGTATTATATAAGAATTTCTATTATAATTGCAAATATTGTATGTTTGTTACCTACTTCTTCACACAGAAACATCAGGATGGATTTAGATGAAAATCAGGATATAGTTAGACTATCACCTGGATAGTTAGGCTACTGATTGGCACCTAGGGACGAATCATCTTATTACTGAGAAAAAAATAGCAATAGGAGAAGCGAGGATAAGTCGATAGCTATTATGAAACTTCAAGTAATTTACCACAATCAAATATATTTAAAAAATCACAGAGAAACGGACGGTGCCACGTTCCAAAATAAATTAACGATTTAAAATTTCAAGACATACGACATAGAATACCACCTTGGTGAGGATCATATAAGGCTTTTATTTTTTTTATAATAAAGGATACCTCAATAATAATAAATGAAACTAGTCTAGATCTATATTTTAACCCACAGAAACCTAGGCCTATCGTAACTGCGCGAGAATCATGATTGCTGTTGCGACCAACTTGTACTTGCCGTTACGAAAGGAACACTATCTGCCACTGAAGTAATATTTAATGACTTCCTTCTATTGGGTCCTCAGAGCAATATATTAAATTGTTATTTTATAAGACCCAATTGAAAAGATTGACAAATTAAAGTATTCAATCATTTTTGCATAGAACAAGGTTTACGTGTCTTACCTACACATAATATTCAAAGTATAGATTTCATTAATTCTTTATTGCTTTTGAAAGTTTTTTTATTAAATCGATTTAAAATTTCATCAACTGAGGCTTTAGACACACCAAGTAATTCTAAAATCTAGACAAATCTTTTACTGAATAAAAGAAAACTTTACAAGTCGTCCGGACTTGTAAAGTTTTAACATAATAGGTATATACCACGTATTCACGCGTGGAAAGCCACGGGCGAAAGCTAATTAAAATAATATGTACCTATATATAGAAGGTAATTGAAATAATGTAATTTTCGAAAAGCATTATTACCATAATTCAAAACAAAAGACAATTAACACATACATTATACATAATTGTATATGTAACATACCAACTCGTATATCAAACGTGTCAACTCATTTGCCATTCGGCGCGGCACACTTGTTCCCACGCCCGATCCTTCTGGCGAAGGTCGAGATAAGTTGATGTGCGTTCCAAGATACGAGAATAAGGCTTTTGATATACAAAGACATAAATTGTGCTTAATTTATATACATACTAGGTTATGTTAGCTTTGTATGTATGTATATGTTTGTTGCCTTATACGTGAATGCATGTTAATTGATTCGATCATTTGCGCTAGAATTAGCGATATTTTGATATCAAATGTTCTTCTCATGAAATAGTACATTCAAACTGATAGAGAACTATGTAAATGCGTTTTAACTGTAGGTACTATTTTATTATGTGCATAAATAGTATTATAATAAACTAACTACTAATGCAAATGCCTATATCCTGGAGTAACACGTAGGATGTTGTTAGGCACCTGGACCCACCCGAACGAAGCAAAGATAAGTACTAAGTGGCTCGTATTATATGAGTTAATATGAATTTAACGTAAAAATCGAACACATGGAAGTGGTCGCACTTGGTCATCAATGGAAATTATTGTGATTGTCATTTAAAAAACAACCCTGCAAAGTGCAATTAGTAGGTACCATAAAGAGTGACATTCTTAGCAACTGCTTTTAAAAACAATGATATAAATAAATATAAAATAATTAAATATGTTCGGACTTTAACACACAGCATCATCTAGTTCCATGGTAAGCTACGAGGCTTGTGTTATTGGTACCAGATAGTTCATACACTACACATAAATAACTTTAAATACATACATAATATGATAAATATAAAAACACCCATGTCTGGTGTAAATATTCGTGCTCATCACACAAATGAATGCCCCCAGCGGGATTCGTACCCGCGACAGCTGGCACAGCGAGTAGCGTCACTACAAACTGAGCCAAACGTGTCGTTAAATAATATATATTATATACTGTATAGTGTATAAGTAGTTCACCATAGTGCAATGAGACTTAAGATTTAAGATACGTTCTGAGATAAGTCGCTTTACTATAGATATTGTTCTATTATTGTTTGACTTTTCGCACACCAAGGGCTGGTTTCGACACACGATTGTGATATAATGAGGTTGCAGAAGTTGAAAAAGCAAAGATATTCAAACTGACGGCCGCGGGAATACATTTTTTTACTCTGAATTCAATCAATTCTATTATATTTAAATATATCCATACATTGTATGTGCCTTTAACTTTATAACTTTGTAATAAAATCCATACTAATATTATAAATGTGAAAGTGTGTTTGTTTGTCCTTCTTCCACGTCGAAACGGAGTGACGGATTGGCATGAGTTTTTGTGTGGAGATAGTTCGAGGCTGGAGAGTGACATAGGATACTCATTACAGCGGGGGATTATCTAATTCCCACGGGAATACACGTTATAATACAATAAATATTGCTCT